TGAACTTCATCTTTAATATGTGTTCCATCTTGACAATATTTCTTTGCTTTATTCCCTTCCCACAATAAAACTTGCTCTTGCTGAGATTAATCTCCTGACCAGAGCCATTGAGGTAAGTCCCTAACAGAGCTCTCAGCTTTAGCAAGTTATTGGTATTCCCATTACAAAAAATAATGATGTCATCTGCAAAAGCAAGGTGGCTGATGAGTAGATCCCTGCCTGTATTATAATTTTGGATTTTAGAGGATGCCATTTCTGTTTTCAACATTCTGGAGAGCCCCTCACTGGCAATAATGAATAGCAAAGGGGATAGTGGATCGCCTTGTTTAACTCCTCTGCTCATAGGAAAGAAACCTTTAGGGCTCCCATTAATCATTATGGAGATGTGTGTACCCCTGAGGTTAGCTAGGAGAAGTCCCTGATTGTGTTCTGAAAACCCAAGTTTCTTTAAGATCCCCTGTATGTAGTCCCACTCCAAGTTGTCAAAAGCCTTGGCCATATCTAATTTGATAATGACATTGCCTCCTCTGATCTTAGAATCAATCTTGTGAACCATCTCTTCCACCAAAAGTATTTGTTCGTCAACCCCCATCCCTGTTTGGAAGCCAGTCTGCTCTGAAGAAATAATCTTGGGTAGCAACTGTTGAATCCTGTCTGCAAGTATTCTAGTGTTTACTTTACTCATGAAGGTGGAGAGTGAAATGGGCCTATAGTCTCCAAAGCTCTTAGGATTATCAATCTTAGGGATCAAGGATAGAAAAGTACTACCATAACTCTTTGGCAGATTGATCCCAATGAAAAACTCCTGTGTAGCACTTATCACATCATTTTGAATAATATGCCATGCTGCCCTAAAGAAGGATCCATTGAACCCATCCGGGCCAGGAGCACTATTAGGATTAATACTCCACACTGCCTCCCTAATCTCCTCTGCTGTTGGTATTTTGCTGAGCTTGGCATTGTCCTCTTGTGTAATCACTGTCTCCAGGTAATCAAGAACAGGAGTAGTAACAATATCTTTCTTAGAGTTGAAGAGATTGTTGTAGTAGTCAATAGCCATATTATGAATAACCTCTCTATCTGTGTGCTCTTTCCCTTGGATGTCCACAATCCTTCTGATTTGGTTTTTAGCTCTCCTACCCTTGACAAATGCATGGAAAAACTTGGAGTTGCAATCTCCTTCCTCCATCCACTTGATATTGGCTTTTTGCTTCCAATAGCTGAGTTCATAATCTGTAGCTAGGATTAGTTGAGCTTTAGCTTTATTCTCCTGTTCTCTATTTGCAGGACTAGGATCTTTTTCAAAATTTTCCTGTGCTTGAATTGCTGTTTGCTCTGCCCCCTTTAATTTACTGAAAATATTACCAAATGTTTTGGTGTTCCGCTCCTTGATATGTCCTTTAAGCTCTTTGAGTTTTCTAGCCAGTCCTTCCATGCCTCCATGTTGATTAGTTTTATCCCAGGAGTCTGTAACCACTTTAAGGAAAGTAGGATGGTTTAGCCAGGCATCTAGAAACCTGAATGGCTTAAGGCCTCCCAAAGGTTCCTTCTTACACTGGAGGAGTAAGGGTTTATGGTCTGAGGATGTTTTGCTAAGATGCATGATAGAGATATCTTCAAATTCCTCCAGCATCTTGTTGTTGACCAAAACCCTATCAAGTCTCCTCATGACCCTGCCATTACTTCTATTAC